AATAAACTACATACCTGCTGTCCTTGACAGCCTGGTTCCAGGAGAAATGTTATCATATGAAGTGTATTTACAAGTCTGTGAAATTAAAAATTATTATATAGAGCTAGCCGAGCATGGGAGTACACACATTTAATCACCACATTCCCGAGACAGAGGCAGGCTAATGTGTGCGTTTGAGGCCGTTCGGGTCTACAGAGCGAGTTTCAGGACTACACAGAGAAGTCCTGTCTCGAAAAAGTAAAAATAATAATAATAATTAGATATTTTAAAAATATATATCTTTATACTTTATTTTCTTTTTATATAATTTTTATTTAACTTAGAAACAATCTTATTTATGTATCAATCCTCGTTCTCTCCCTCTCATCCTCACTTGTATCCCACAGACCTCCTATCTCACCCCCCATCTACTCCCCAGGTAGGGTAAAACCTTCCATCATCAAAGTCTGTCACATCATTTGGGGCAGGGTCTAGGCCCACACCTGTGTATCTAGGTTGAGAGAGTATACCTCCATGGAGAATGAGCTCCCAAAGTCCATTCATGAACTAGTGATGAATACTGGTTCTACCGCCAGAGGCCCCATAGACTGTCCATGCCTCCTAACTGATACCCATGTTCAAGGGGCCTGGTTCAGTCCTATGCTGATTCCCCAGATGTCAGACTGGGGTCCTTTAGCTCCCACTTGCTCAAGTCAGCTGTGTCTATGGGTTTCCCGGGCATGGTTTTGACCCCTTTGCTCATCACTCCTCCCTCTCTACAACTGGATTCCAGGAGTTTGGCTTAGTGCTTAACTGTGGATCTCTGTTTCTGCATCTATCAGCTACTGAATGAAGACTCTAGGATGGCATTTAAGTTAGTCATCAATCTCATTATAGGGGAAGGACATTTAAGGTAGCCTCTCCACTATTGCATATTCTTAGTTGGGGTCATCCATATGGATCTCTGAACATTTATTTCCCTAGGGCCAGATTTATCTTTAAACCTACAATGGCTCCCTCTATTAAGGTATCTCTTTCCTTGCTCTCCTCTATTCTTCCCCTGGCTCAATCTTCCTAATTCCTCGTGTTCTCCTAACCCCTCATCTTCTCCCCTTGTCTGTTTCCTACCTCCCTCTCCCATCCCCCCATGCTCCCAATTTGCTCAGGAGCTCTTGTCCCTTTCCCCTTCTCCAGGGGGCCATGAATGTCTCTCTTATGGTCTTCCTTGTTTCCTAGCTTCTCTGGAGGTGTGGATGGTGGGCTGGTAACCCTTTGCTCTATATTTGTAATAAACCCATGCCCTCCCACATACTTTATTTCTGGATTACTCAGTGTAAATAGCTTTTATATTATGTTGCTTATAAAACAATCAAAATAATGTGTAAATATATTCAACAGGTAGCTACATTGTTAATATTTTGATTTATGTGTGGTTGAATGAAAGTGTATGAAATCAAATGATACACAGCTTGTTTGTTTTTTAGAAAATTTGACTACGATAAGAGCACAATAACATGATATCACAACATGTGCTCAAATTTACATTACAAGTGCATATTAAGAATACTGTGGTATAGAAATAAAAATAGAAGTAATAAAATTAAATGATAGAAATGAACCAACAAAAGTGCAGTGACACAAAATTTTTACAAAGCTGTCAAAAGTATTCATGTCTGAAAAGTCAAATGCTTCTGGAAAAAGTGTACATCCACATGTAGAAAAATGAAAATAGATGGACATCTCTATCCTACATAGAAATCAGGCAAAATTTAATCTACTTGTGATATAATCTTACCTTATTGAAATCCAGAAACTATGCAACCATTCAGAACCCATTCAGAAGTTTGAGGTATATACCTAGGACATTCTAAAAGATTTAAGTAGAAAAAAAAACTTAAAATTGACAAAAGTGGATCCGAGCATTGGTGGCACACACCTTTAATTGTAAGGCAGAGGCAGACATATCTCTGTGAGTTCAAGGGCAGCCTGGTCTACAGAGCAAGTTCCAGGACAGGCTCCAAAACAGTTATTCAGAATCCACAAAGGTCTCTGTTTGTAGAGGTTAAGCACAAAACACTGAAAGGGCATCTCTAATATATTCTTGCTTGTGAGCCTAGCCTTTAACAACTGAGCCATCCTGCCAGCCCAGAATGGACATGTGTCCATGGGAGAACTGAAAATGTTTAATAAATATTGTGTAAATGTCCAATATTCTTGGTTTTCATAGAAATGTAGTTTAAAATTGTGAGGCTATTCCATTTGGTATCACTCAGAACAGTCACTACGATTCAAGAAATGAACAACAAATTCAGCTGAGACGCAAGCCAAAAGGAAGCCTTTGAGAATGAAAATGGATGACAAACAGAACTCATCCAATAAATTCAATACTGAAGCTTCACAAATGTAAAAATGGACCTTGCACATGTGCTGGCCCCATATTGTTGGTATTTTCAGGAGTTCAGTATTAAACATGGCATGAAAATATCTTGTGATGCCATGAAACCGAGTTCTTCATGAGTGTAACCAGAACACATACAGACTGATCATATGGAAAAGGGGAACTTCAACCACTAAAGTTTCCTAAGAGCCTTTTGTATTATGTGTGTTACTGTAAGATTAATGACTGAATGTTCTCTCTCACTTCCTCCACAATGTATCTATATCATTTCTGGAGAGATATGAGGTGACATTTCTCTTGCGTAAAACAATAATCTCTTTCACACAGTGTTAACACTGAAATGGATCAAGAAAAGGGCTCTAGTTGTGTGATATTTGGAATAATCAACTTCTCTATGGCAACACCCAACTAGCTAAGGACAAGGCTGAGTTCTGCCAGAACAGCCAATTCCTCAGATGCACACACATAACATGTATGCCGAGTTTTCTCCTCTGCTCCTTCTCTGATGTTTCCAGGGCAATGTCTACCAGAGTCACACCTGGACATGAGCCCTCATCTCCAGATCATTCCCATCTTGTATCTGAAGACAGTAGAAAACTATCCTGTTAATAAGATTAGGCCATATTCAAAAAAGCCAATAGTGCCCTGCCTTCATTAAACTCCAAAAGCCTTTTGGGAATGTCTATGGTTCCATAGAACCTGACAAAATTACCAAAGGCAAATATACTACCCACTCAGAATACAACTATTATCATCATTAGGGGGAGAAAGCCTACCTGAATATACTACAGAATTAAACTGCATATGTAGCAAAAGACATTTTTTTTTTTTTTTGCTGACTTTTTTTTCTGAGATAATCACCATCCTGTTTGAAATGAACTGCCAGGTACATGATATGCACAGCACAGGAAAGTGTTATACATTGGATGATGGATCATCTGAATTTACAGTACATGGCCCTTCCTGCTTTACCTCATCCAAATTCTCTACCAACTTCTACCAGTTCCAACTAAAACCTGGGCAATAATGAAATCCCAACATAGTCTCAGACATGAAAAAGCAACTATTTACAAACTCTGTTGTGCACCTCTCACAGTCCAGTGACTCCAACCTGAACCAGGAAAGAGAATAGGAACATAGAATAAAATAAAGTTAGTATCCATCAAATAACCATTTAATCACAATAACTGCTAAGCATTTATTTGTTTGTTTCTCAAGACAGGGTTTCCTTGTGTAACAGTACTAACTGTCCTGTGTAGACCTGGTTGGCTGGGAACACGCAGAGATGCACCTGCTTCTGACACTAAGTGCTGGCTTTAAAATTAGTAACGCCACATCTGGTTGTCTACTAATCGATTTTTGAGAAAACATTGAATAGTGCTCATGAGGACTAACGAAGCTGTCTTTGGTGGTTCACATCTGGCCTCCTAATACGAAGGACATGGGTAGAAGAATAGTTAGTGAAGCAATGAGGCCAAATCACAAACAAGATAAAGGACAAAGTAAACATTACTTGGAAAGATAAGTCAAGGGATTCATTGGAAATGTAAAAGGCAGATAGATGGTGCTGATAAGTAAGTATATCAGTAGGTTGTATTGATCTTAAAATCATCAACAGATCCGAATGAGAAATATTGGAGCACTGCATATCAGAACATGGAAAACAGCATTCACCATGATGAAGATCAGTCAAAGAAAGCAATCCCATGGAGACTTTGAATGTGATGTCAGACAACTTTGTTCATGTGTCTAGCCAATCAAGATTCATGTCACTGATAAAGAATAAATCCTGAAGAAAACAATAACAAAGCAATCTAATTCAACATTCTAAAAACATTTAAAAAGTTGGAGTACTTAGGCTCTCTGAGAAAAACAGCATTCATGGATCACGTGAGAACTACATTTACATGGGCTCTCTACCGCCACTCCTCTTTATCTAACACAAAAGAACATGAAAAAGAACAGAATATCCAGGCTTCTGTTTCTGTGTTATCATACTTTCTCTAATTTGAAACAGATCTGGGGAAATCTGGACAGCCTTTCTAGACTCAAACAGGCTGTCATTCTTGTTGGTCTCATGTACTATACATCTATGTTTGATGTCCTAACTACTTGCAGAATTGAACAAAATATTCACCTAAGTCTTATACACATGTAACACATGTGTATAATATCATGAATGGAGTTTTGCACTTAATAGAAGAGATAATATCCATCATTAGCCTCAATGAAAGGAATAATATGGACAACAATATGCATGTATGTGGAAGCAAATCTCCAGACAATCCCATTTAACAGGGTGAGACTGTTATGTCAATATCTGTGACTTACTGATAGACATAAGCAATGGTAAAACTATATGCCTAAAATCTGAACTTTGTATCACTTCAACATTGTTTTCCAAATTTCATGTTGTTCCATTTAGAACTGAGTAAACTCCTCCCCACTGGATCCTGCTAGGCAAGAGTCCCGAAGAAAAGTCAGGGATGCAAAGAATCCTGTTGTTTCAGGTCAGGTCACCACTAATGACTTGAAAGTTGCCTTTGTTCTGCCTTCCTTATAAAGATTGTGGACTTGCTTCCCCCAGCACAGATTTGGAAGCAACTCCAGAGCCTCCTCCAAGATGCTGGTGGTCCTACTCACAGCAGCCTTGTTGGCCCTGAGCTCAGTCCAGAGCTCAAATGAAGGTATAAAGTAGAAGAAACGTTGCTATGGTGTCATGGGACTTGAACTAAAGTTCAGGATTGGGAAGAATAGAAAAAGATGAACAAGAAATTGAGGCAAACAAATAGAAGATTGAATATTAGACCATTTATATTGCCTGTAGATATTAAACTTTACTTATAGTATAATTTCAGTATATAGTCTTGCAACAAAATTACATGAGTGCATTTGTGAAAATATCTTTTGGGTGGTGGATGATGGAAGGAAGTGTGTTACATTTGACAGAGGGAAATACAATTCTTCAGGTGTTATGAGAAACAGAGGTGAATAATGCAAACTGTGATGTACAGAGGATAAAGAAAAATGAAAGAAGCAAACATATACCAGGGATGTTGCTGAAAAAGGAAAAAGATAATGAATTTGAAACTCTGTAAAAAAAAAAAAAAAAAAGTAAGCTTGAAATATCAGGGAATAATTCTGTTTAAAAATTATTTTAGTACATGTGTGTGCCTGCACAACTGTCAATGTATGTACATGCATGCACACACAAACATGCACACACATATAATATATATACATGTATATACATATATATACATATATATATATATATATAGAGAGAGAGAGAGAGAGAGAGAGAGAATGTGCATGCTTATTCACATTCTAGTCAGAAGATACCTATTGGCAAAAAAGATTTCTCTTTTTACCATGTGATTCCAGGAACTTGATTTAAGTCACCAGGCAAGGACTTTTACTTACTGAGATATCTTCCTGGACCTATTTCTCTATTTTAATGACCTACAGGCAATATTCATTGCTCTATGCATAGTATTTAAAGCAATATTTATTCTCATTTCAATGCATATAATGTCTATGGATATATCATATAGAAAGTGGAAGTTATGAAGAAAATCATAAAGAATATAAACCTGTGATATTAAAATTTCCAGAATGTAAATGAAGACTAAGAGTGAGGATTGACAAAGCTAATAAGAAACCAAATAGTGGTTGCTTCTGATTATAGAAACCATTCTGGCTGCATTATCAGCAATATTATCCAAGAATAAAATTCTACTTACTGGACATGAACTTGTGGTTGAAAGTCCTCTTTACTGGAAAGCCTAAAAATGTCATAATTAACTTTAAACACATTTTCTGCTTATATCCTAGAGCTCATCTATGAAGATTCTTTAACACGGCTCTTAGGTAAAGTCTGATTCATCCTATATGGACCCTCTATGCAAACTTTACTTTTCTCAATAGTCAGCTCTGTGAAGTCTTCCTATCATTTTGTTATTTCATGAAATTAATGTGTGGCAGCTTCCCTTGAGATACATAGCAAAACTTCCCAACTTTGCCTCTAGGCCCTAGAGCAGGACTAGACACGGGAGGAGGTGAAAGCCAGGTTTTATAAGAGGAACATTTTGTCTCTTCCACAGATTGAAGCAATGTCTTCCATGTGATGAGCACAGTGGGTGTCCCCATTTAAATTCCATCATGGCAACATGGGTTGCTCAAATAATTCTTCTTTCTCCAGTGACGCCAAGTAGAATTATAATGCTTACTCACTAGACACACAATCACACTGATCGTATACTCTCCCAGTTTTTAAATGTACTTTTTCACTCAGTTCTGTAGCCACACCTGACCAATACATAAAAAGACACTGCATAGTGGTGGTGCATGTTTTAATCCGAGCACAGAGGCAGGTGAATCTCGGTGAGTTCCAGGCCATCCTGGTGTACTGAGGGAGTTCTAGGACAGCCTCTAAAACTACAGAGAAAACCTGTTTTGGAAAACAAATAAATAAATAAATAAAAATTGAATGAAACATCTTTTCATCTCTTTCCTACATCTCGTTCTTGTTCTCCATTTGATACTGGGAACATGAACACCATGATATATTTTTAAAAAGAGCATTGCTGTCACAGTTTTGCTATTCTGACAAGTTCTAACCAGTAACGTTTACAAATCTGTTGGTTTCCTAGACTCTGGTCTAACAATTATTAGGAAACTACTTTTATGTACTAAATTTAAGAAAAATATTTTTTCAAAGACTTGGGAAACAAGAAAGTTCATGTGATAAATATGAGGAACCAGGGACATAATGATGGCAGGAGGTTCTAGGAGAAAAAGAAGGTGTGTGAGCTTCCTCCATTGATCTCTACCCATGCAGAGGAAGAGCAGCAAACCCAACCTCATCAGAGACCCCCACCTGGAGAATTACCCCCACAACTTTCTGCATCTGATGAAGATGGTGATGATGATGAAGAAGATGGAGATACACCAGAGAGACCACCACAGCAAGGAGACAACCTCCACAAACCTCACCCTCCGAGACCTGGAAACCACCACGGAGGCCCTCAGCAGAATCACCCTCCTAGACCTGGAAACCAGCAAGGCCCACCCCAGCAGGGAGGCCCTCAGCAGAATCAACCCCCTAGACCTGGAAACCAGCAAGGCCCACCCCAACAGGGAGGCCCACAGCAGAATCGCCCTCCTAGACCTGGAAACCAGCAAGGCCCACCCCAGCAGGGAGGCCCTCAGCAGAATCGCCCTCCTAGACCTGGAAACCAGCAAGGCCCACCCCAGCAGGGAGGCCCTCAGCAGAATCTCCCTCCTAGACCTGGAAACCAGCAAGGCCCACCCCAGCAGGGAGGCCCTCAGCAGAATCGCCCTCCTAGACCTGGAAACCAGCAAGGCCCACCTCAGGAGGAAAGTGAAGAACAGCCAAGTTCCCTGGAGACATTTTATGCATAACCAAGAGGTTCCACGGCAGTAATAAGGTAATCAGATACCTCATTCTTCACCCCAACCCCCAAGCTTCAGAGACCAGCACCTTCCTCCTAAAGGCATAAATTCTATATACGTCTAAAAAATTAAATGTCTCCTTTAACCTGGAATTCTATGATGGCTGTGATTTTAATTCACTCTGACTCAGATGCCTTAACTCTAACAGAATTAAAAACCCACAGAAAACAAAGAGATACTTGAAGAAATGTTGGAATTGCACATTGTGTCTTTCTTCTGCCTGACCATTTTTATTCATTTGTTTCAGGTGAAGTAGAAGATAGATACCTTTAATGTCATTTCAATGGAACAATGATGTTGTAAGTGTGCCTTCAACATTCTAATAAAACATTTAGCATGCAATTACTGTTTGCTGTTTCTTCTTCTGATCAGAAGTGAGTGAAATCTGGGGCATGTGGACACATGTTAGATGATTATAGGTCCAGTCATCCAGTTACTTCTGGAAGGGACCCTTTTGCTCCCTTTACAAATCAGCCAACTATCACTTGAGAGACTCTCTTGTTTCCATCTTACCTGGAGTTCTGCCCACAGCTTTGCTGTATTTCTCAGATACATGTGATGGTAGCAAGAGATTTCATGTAAGACATGGATTTCAAGATTAAATTACATAAGCAGGTTAAACTACATAAAGATGTTCTCAGTATGTCATGTGTCTTGTTTGACCAGTGTGCTAGGGAATTGCTGCCTGGGAAAACCTGCAAAAGGGGTCTTTGTTTCTCACAGGTAATGCTCTATCGATTCACAACTTACATTTGAGGAACTCCCTGTTCCTACAAGCTCACATTCTTTTTCTGACTTGGACAGTCTTATAAATGCAGTGGTTTCTATAAGACTGATGTTCATTCTTTTCCTTGCCCTTTTTTTTTTTAATAAATATCATATCCTTGAACCTTATAGGCAAAGGAAAATTTTGGAATATTTTGAAACAGTCCTTCAAACTAGTTTTGTTGGCTTTGTAATTATTCAAACATTTTTCTTCATATTTTGCCGAATCTTAATTAAAAAGTTAAAAAAATGTATAGAAGTTTTGTGGCTGAGGAATCCTTAAAATTTCCATATTGTTTGAGCCTTAATTCATAGAATGTTCTTTGAATTTTCCCTTTGAATTTTATTCCTTCACCAAGATCAGAGCCTTCTCTCCATCCATCCACACAATTCTTTATGAAAAATTGAATGACTTTCATGGAAGTAGCGTAGTCATGGATTCTCAGAAGTGACAATTGGGTTCATTCGGACAGGATGACATTCAGTCTGCTATTTCTGTGATTCTTTGGATGGCCATGAATCTACAATAGCAGTGTGAAGTGTAGATGGTTTTTAGGATTTGTTAAGGTTTGTATGCAGTACAACAGACACATACTAACCCTATTTATCTACAACATTAGTGAAACCGCATATCCTAGTGGAACCACGCATCTTCATCATTGTCAACACTCTCAATGATTCATCAAACATCTTTGTGTTCTAGATTAATTCCCTGCTTACTTAGCAGGCTTTGTAAGCCTAAAACAACATTGTCACCAACACTAATGACTAATATTTCTTTCATAATGAGGGAGGGAAATCTCTGAGGAAGTTTAAAGGAACTCTGGAACCTACCAAATTTACCTGAAACACATAGTTTGACATTAGATTTAGAAAAGATTTTGAAAAAATCATCAAATAAACCTAATAATAGGCAGTCCTGTGGTGGTGCAGGACTTTATTTAATCACAGCACTTGGGAAGCAGAAGCAGGTGGATCTCTGTTAGTTTGAGATTAGCCTAGTCTTCAAAGGGAGATACAGGACAGTCAAGGCCATTAAACAGAGAAACCCTGCCTCAACCTCCCCGAAAAGAACAACATTGCAGAAATAAATACATGTTTAAAAAATAATACATGAATAAGAAATACCATAAATGACTCAAGTGACAAAATATTATTAGGTAAAAATTTTGTCAGGAAAATACCTAATTTAGCTCATTAATCAAAAAACCAAACAGAAGACCCTCAAGACAGTGAAGAAAAATTTCTTTCTTGTTTCCTTTGTTTTTAATATCTTAGCATCTTGTTTATTTCAATCTTCACATGATCTATTCATTTAATCTTTGATAGTTTCATACATATATGCTTTGATTATATCCATGCCAAAATCCCCTGATATGCCCAATTCTGCCTGACACTCCCCACAACTACTTCAATATCCTTTCTTCATATCTATCTTCTTGTCTATAGCTATACATGTCTATACATATAAATACATATATATACATATATATGTATATATAGTTGATATATATAATCAACTATACTGCCCACTGGAATATTGATAGAAGACAAAGTACTCCTTATATAGTCTAACACATACATCATCAATGGCAACATGTAGATTAAAAATATTGCTTAAAGTCTGTGCTGTATTCAACAATGTCATTGAGTAGTTGCTTGACTTGTTTGAGCCCTGAACTCAAATCCAGCAGGTAAATAAATGAATCATTTTGTCTGTTAAAAGTTCCTTAAATTTTTGTTTTGTTTTTTTTTTTCCTTTTTTTTATTTATTTTTCTTATTTTACATATCGATACTTAAAATTTTAAGGGAACTATGATTATGTTTTCAGACTAATATTACAACATGATTTTGTGGTTTCTAACAGATCAAGTCAGCATCCACTGTTCTCTGACTACAGCAAAAATCAGTCAGCATGTGTCTGCTACTTTTCTTGTAGTTGTGATCACTTGCCTGACAGAAAGCAACTTAAGGGTGGCATGTTGTATCGTGTATCACATTCGTTATGATCAAATCAAGTAGTATTAATTAGGTGTAACCTTTTATGTTGTGTTTTGTTTATGTGAATGGGTTTTGCCTTTGTGCATGTGTGTGTGCCACATGCATGTAGTGCCTAGGGAGGAGAGAAGAGAGTCAGTTGTAAATAGAATTAAGCAGTGTGACTCACCATATGGTTGCCCAGACCTAAACTCAGGTCCTCAGGAAGAGTTGCAAATAGTCGTAACTGCTGGTCCATCTTGGTAGCCCCAATGAAATAGTAACTATTAACATCAGTTTTTCTAAATGGAGAGAATATTTTACACACACAAATACATATATAAGTTGTGTCATAATTAAGGAATATTCTCATTATCTAAGGCCTCAGGATACCTTGTTGTGGTTTGAAAACAGCATCAAGGTATAAATGAAAGATATGCTTATGCTGGCCTCTGGTTAAAAGGATATTGTTTGAATTGCAGGAAATTATACTATGTGTCTAAGTGATTAAGGGGATTATCCAGAAAAAACTTTTTCACATAGAGAAAGTGAAATATTCCCTGGCAGAAAATAATGGTTACTGAATCTAGTAATGTGGTCTTAATGCTGTGTGTATATAATACACTTCAATTTCATAAACATCCTGTCTCAGGCCAAATCTCTCAAAATAGTTACAAGAAGAACATGCAGGTCAATTCTCTGAGCCACCAGAGTCTAGGAGGAAAAAATATCGTGATTCTTAAGACGATACCACTTTCTTGGACCTGTGAACCAGGCTTCTGCTTATGACCTTTCCCTTACTCCAAGGTCATGAGATATGTCTTTGGTTGTAGGACTGACTCTAACCCACAGAAGAGATGAACATAGATAAAGGAAAATGCCTGGTTTTGAGACAGGTTTTGTGAGTTACCTTTCTTGCTTGGTTAAACTGACCTCCATGCTTAACAGGCAAATCTTTATCTGCCTTGCACAATTCCACTGACAGGGACCAACTCTCATTGTTACAGACTAGTTAAGTATTACAGGGTTGGAGGTCATTGAGGATGACCACACTCATCAGAATTAGCATCTTAGAAAACCAAGAACTGGAGTGCCGAATGTTGGATGTCACTAAATCCTTGAGCTCCTACAACTCACTGCTTTCATCAAAGAAACAAACTAAAATGACAGCGGACAGAGTCTAGAACAAGAGTCGCTTTAACTGGGTCCCAGAATTGAAAACTAGGATGAAGACTATCATCTAGTCCCCATTCTCCAAAAGAGAAAATTCTCAGAGGTTAAAAGAATCCCATGATGGGTAGAGTTCTTGTCTCTGACCCACAGATACTCGGGCTCAGGCTTGCACTAACTTTTCCTCAAAATCAGCCTCAGCCTCTACCACCAGTATTGATGCTACAAACTTATCTTACATGTGAAAAGCAGTGATTGGTCAATGAAGAGGTGTCATTACAGTTACATTTCCTCTGAATCTGAAATGCCACCTTAAAGGAAAAGGTACCATTGACCCTCCTTAAATTGCAGCATGCAGTCTGAAAAGATGGCACGGATTTAACCAGGTAGCAGGGTTTGTTTAGGAAACACAGGAAGGCTATATCCTCTATATTGAGCATATTTTGTTCCTTTTTTTATTCTTCCCACATTTTAAAAATCTACTGTGTTATAGTAATCTTGGTTTTAAAAAATTGAATTTGGGTCTATCTCTATCCCTGAATGGGAAAAATGGCATTGTAATCAGCCCAGAAAAAGCATATGATCACTATCTAGTTGGAGGTATTCTGCTTGTGAACAAAGGCATACAATTACCCCTCCGTTAATAGCTGCTATACAGCAAAGGTTTGTCTGAAAAGCAATAACTTACATATACAAAAGCAAAATACTCACTGCTCAACAAATAATTTTCTTCCCTGAGTCAAGGAGGAAAGTTGATAACGTGTGTTAATGATGTGTTAGTGGGTTAATATACTAAAGAGAAGGTGGGAGCCTTATGGTGAACTCTCATAGTAGCAATTTGAAAACTACCACCTTCCCACACTGCTATGCCATGCCATGTTCTCCTTTTATCCATGACAAGTGTCAGTTCCTCTCTATAAATCGTCAAGTAGAAACAAAAGCAACAGGGTTAACACGAGGCAAACTAGTAATGTCTCCCCTTGAAGGGAAACCTATTCTCAAAATTCAATTACAAAAACATGTTGAACGGAGTGCAGCTTTTTAAAGAAGGCCTCCAACCCCATAAGATTTGAATTAATTGCAGCTCAATTAATTCCTTGCAGCCTAAATACCTGTGCTGTTCCTCTTCAGTCATGTGTATCTATCGCATCTTTGAAGTCTTTAGCGTTGTGACAGACGTCTTCAAATTTTCAGTCTTCATAAGGAGCTGTGGGAATGAAAGTTCATGGAGACCCTGATTCACTTTCTAAATAACCAAGTTAAGTGAGGAAAACGGGAATGGAAAGTGCTTCTGACAGTGTTCAGTCAGTAAAGCCATTCTCGTGTATTTGGATCCAAATTCAGGTGCCCAGCACCCAAGTAATAGTTAAGTACAGCTGTGCATCTGTAATTAACCTCCAGAGCTGGGGAAGGGAGGTGATTAAAGCCCAGCAGATTCCTGTTTTCAGGAGCAAGATCCATCAAATTGAGAAGCCACAGTTCAGTCAGAGACCTGCCGGTATTATCCTGCTAGGTTAGGTTGACATAACATCAAATCAACTCGCAATGACTTATCATCACATCCATAAATTTATCTCTCATTTTCAGTTGATAATGATCAATACAAAGACACATACCAATGTTCAGAGGATAAGACTGCGGAATATTCAGCAGTAAATGGAATATATATATACCCTCACTCCTCTTTTCCAAAGGGTTAGGGATCATTGTGGAAGAGAGAGCTGGAGTAGTGTAAGAACCAGAGGCTTACACGGGTGACTATAAGGCAAACAGTGTCTCCTGAAAATAAAAAAGCAGCTGCACGTAGCAAGTGACAGTAGTTGTGACAGCATTTACAAGACTTGTGCAAGCCCAAGTCCTTGATGGAGAGGAAACTCGGGCACCAAGTCTCATCGCCAATTTTTGGCAACTAGGAGAGTAAGATAATAGCGATTTAGTTAAAAACTACATTTGGTGGCAGTGGCAAGAGGCAAATCTGGCCAGATACAGGGCAGCTTTCTGAGAAGTAGACAAGTAAATTCAGAGCCTCAGTTACTGACTGAAACTGCAGTAGATTCAGATGCTGCTGCCACAGACTATGCCAGCCAGGTATGGAAGAACCTGGGATTAGGGTACTCACCTAGAAGACTAGGTGAGTAAGGATTTGGCAGTGACAAACAGAAACAAACACAGAGGCAGTTTGAATCTGAAATGTATTTTGCAGCTTTCAAGCAAGGCTTTTTATAATAAAACAAATATCTTCTCAGAGTTTATATTTACTGAATGCCCAGATGACATCATCGTTACTAGGCCCAGTAACACACACAACTTATCCAAGGCTATTTAAAACAATAAATATGAAAATCATTCAAGGCTAACCTCAGCTAACTGTCTATTTCTAAGATCAAGTTAATAAATTTTTATGGTCAGTTATTGTTTAATATGTGTTGTCTAGTTCCTGTGAGTCTTTGAAATAGAGCTGAAATAGAGCTCTTTTGACTCTTATTAAAATGCTTTCTTTACCAAACATTTAAATCCACTCTCAATTACACATGTACAGCTATATGAAGTTTTATTGTTGGGAAAGTTTTTATCAATACTATTTGTACTTATGTGAATAACGTGAACGATTCAAAAAGCGCTAGTTTTCCCAGAGACGAGTTCATGGTCAGTGACCACGTCTCGGGGGATGGTTTCTCGTTTCTTTTGTTTAAAATGTCAGCATAGGCTTTCAGGAGCATTTTGTTAATATGAAAAATAAATAATAGAAGGCTAGAAATTGGTCAATATGTTTTCTCCAGCTAAGAGTTCCACAACCGTTTTTCAGGAGACCTCTTTCTTTTGAAGTAATTGCCTCAGTCTATGGAACTTGTCACACAGAATCTACTGGATTTGGTGCGGCATGTAGCCACTGTGATGATGGAAAAACAATAGAGTCCACGTAGCCAAGAATTTTTGCACAGCACAAATTGGCCTTAATGAGAAAAGAATAAATGAATATGGGTGGGAAGGCAAAGGGGAGGAGTATACTCAGAAGAGTTAGAAGAGAGAGTAAAATATAATCACTCACCATATCAAATACTCACTGAGCTAATAAAGTACTTTTTGAATATTGGAAAATATGATGTGGGACAAACTGCCAAAGATGACAAATAACAACTTCAGCTTGCATATGCATAAACACATATCTAAATTATTAAATTACAATAGGAAAATATTTGGATTAGGTTTGCCTATTAACATGCCTCTAAGGTATTTGCTTATTTGGGTTAACAGACCTGGGAATACTTACTCTTTTTCACTAATATATTGATTTTACTTTTTCTTTGTCCCGCACTGTGTATTATGTATGCGGGGGGGGGGTAATTGAAGTTATTCATATGTGGAAGTCAAAGAACATAGTACTTAGAACATCAAGTCTCTTCTTCTTTCACATGGGTTCCTAGCATCTAACTCAGGTGTGCATGCTTGCCCAGCAAGGGCCTCTACCCACCAGCCTACTCTTCACTTCTTGTCTATGAATACAGTAGGTCCAGCTGATTCATAGTCTTGCCTCTGTGACTTTACTACAATGTTGGACTGCAAGCTGCAATTGAGCTATAATAAACTCAGACTTTTCTAATTTTCTTTTGCCAAACTACATCATTACAGTAATGGGAAAAGAGATAAAGACAACCACACACACACGAAGAGTCAGAGAGAGAGACAGAGAGCAAGAGGTAGAAGGGAAAATATAAGAGCTATAAAAGATTTATGAGGACAAAAAAAGAACCTCAAAAGATGAACTCTATTCTCTCACTAGCACCATTGCCATGGACATGGGATACATCTCATCTGGAACTGATACCTTCCTTACCTCTCCTTGTAGCTTATAAACAATAGCTAAATACCAGTTTTGATATTAATTTTATTGCAAGAAGTATAGAGTTTCAAAAAAAAAAAAAAACACCCAAGACCATGATAAAGTATTAGGGCTGGGCTCTTGATGCAAGCACTCATCTCTGGAAGTTTCAGTGGAGTTCTATGGCTGATAATTTCAAAAATCTGGAATCTTATCTTCCTCTATCCCTCAGGTAAGCTTCAAAGACTGGACTAGAAAATGATTCCTAGAAAGAGGGGAAGAAAAAATGCTATGACAACTCATGGTAGAGACTCCCAGTCCCCCATCTCACCTTGTTTCTGTGTATGCAATCAGTTGACCTGTGGAGAGAGAAGGCGCTGAAAATTAAGACTTTTCAAAGATACATTGGCTAAGGTCGCCATCTTTAAAGATGTGCTGCAATTCTCTCCAGTATATTGAAGCCCATATCTAAAATGGCACTAAATCTCTGAGAAGTGATCAGTGATGGCAGAGAACAAAGGTACAAGTACACATTGAGCCAACTCAGTCTTGAATGCTGTTTCTGGTCTACTAGGAATTTCAATGAAGAGATGAGTTTCCTTTATCTCTAAAAGTCTGGTGTACTGTGGACAAAGTGACTGGAGGCTTCCAGTGAATCTGTGGCCATAACGTTTCCTCCTAACTTCCAAGGCACTGTGCACAGCCTAACCTCTTAGAAGGGAAATGACTGCAAAGGAGCTCAGTGCAGAGGATTCTATGACAGTTTGTTCCCCCCACACAGTAGATATTTAGCTGAGCACTTAAGCTGGACAGGTGTTCTCTGTCCCAAAGAATGGTTTTGGTTAATTGGCATGTCAACTGGACAAGAACTATGAAAAATAAGTTAATGTCCAGAGACCTACAAGACTGAACCCAACCAACAATTTGAGCAACAATGGAAAGGCTACCTTAAATGCCCTTCCCTGATAATGAGATTGATGACTAACTTATCCATCATCATAAAGCTCTCATCTAGTAGCTGATGGAAACAGAAGCAGATACCCACACTAAACACTGAGCTGAACTGGAATCCAGATACAGAGAGGGAGGACAAGACCAGGCTACAGAAGCCTACAGAAACAGCTGACCTGAACAAGGGGGACCTAATGAACCCCCAGACTGACAACTGGGAAACCAGCATTGGAATGACTCAGACCCCCTGAACATGGGTCTCAGTTAGAAGGCCTAGGAAGTCTAAGGGACCTCTGACAGTAGAACCAGGATGTATCCCTGGTGCACAAAAGGACTTTGGGAGCACATTCCCCATGGAGGGATACTCCCTTATCCTAGAGACAGGAGGGAGGGCCTAGTTCCTACTCCAAATGACTTGACAAATTTTGTTGATCCCTCCTGGAAGTCATCACCCTCCCTGTGGAGTGGGGGTGAGTGGGATGGAAGGGTGGTCACAGGCCATGGGGGCGGGGAGGGAGGAAAGGAGGGAGAGAGAGGGAACTGGGATAGATATGTAAAATAAGAAAAAAAAGTTATGGAACCCTGCATCTGCCTGCCTTGAAAATCTTCCTAGGGCAAAATATCCTCAAAGACCAAATATTCAGAAAAGATAGAATCATATTCACCTATATCTGTTCTTTCAATTAGGGGCTCTTAGGACTAGACTGCATTAACATGTGAAGAAATATTCATCTTTATAATGCTCACATGAGAAATAAATCTATAGTGACAGTTTTCTCCTTTTAAAAACACACATTTCTCAGTTTATTGACAATTTCTTACCTATACAACACCTCTTCCATGTCCAGGTAAAGATATAAGGAGATAACCAACTTCTCATAGATCAGAAACAGGGGATCCAGCACATGCACAGACATAACCAGATTGCCTCAGGCATGAAGCTACATCTGGCTCATGTAATCATATTGGGATTTTTTTTTTACTGCCCAAAGTAAATTGGGGAAGTATTGTTGCATTGTACTATTAAGATCCACTGTACAACAAAGGCATTTGTTTGTTGCTTGAGTAAAAATTGAAGATGGGATGCAGCAAGACAGTGAATTTTCAATAAGAACAAAAGTAAAGTGACATATATAGATAGAAATCCCACACTTTGTAAAATAACTAATAAAATCTAAATAGAACTAAATAATTTAAACCCAGATTTATATTCACACTTACAGATTCTTTAGCATCTAGTAACTGCAGTTTCTTGATTCCAAATTATACCAGTAATCTCTGAGTACCCCAAGATAATACTAGATAGTCAATGACTGGTAATATAAGCTAGTGTGTCTAAGCATAAAGACCAATACTTTAAAATTTGTCCTTTAGAAAAATAACAACAAAGGCAGCCATCCTCTAAATCACTGGTACTGCTTTATGATGCCCTCACTGAGTACAAACAGAAAAATTTTAACAACATCACAAGCAAAAACAGATAGTCATGAGAGCACATGGAAGTACAGGATTACAGTTATCAAAATGCTTTCCAATCCCTTCTTTTTGCATGAATTCTAATGGCTTTATATACTTACTTAGTTCTTTTTTCTTGTGAGACATCTTATATAGCAATCACCTACAACACAAAAACAAGAGATCAACACTATTTTCATTCCCAACAGAGACAGCCAAGACTGTTCCTCCTCTTTGGTGAAACCTAAGGGCAGGTCACTGCAAACAGGTATGGTGGTTTGAACAGGAATTGTCCCCATAGATTCATAGATTTGAATGGTTAGTCATCAACAAGTGGCACTCTTAAGAGGTGTGTCCTTCTTTGAGAGTACATTCCCCATGGAGGGATACTCCCTTAACCTAGAGGCAGGAGGGAGGGCCTAGTTCCTACTCCAAATGACTTGACACATTTTGTTGATCCTTCCTGGAAGGCATCACCCTCCCTGTGGAGTTGGGGGGGGATGGGATGGGAGGGTGTTCAGGTGACATGGGAGGGAGGAGGGAAGGAAGAAGGAAGGGAGGGAGGGAACAAAAGAGGGAGGGAGGGAGAGGGAACTGGAATCAATATGTAAAATAAGAAAAAAAATTACAAAAAAATAAACACACACACAAAGAGGTGTGTTCTTGTGTGGGCATGTGTGGCATTGTTGGAGAAAGTGTGTCACTGGAAGTGGGCTTTGAGGTTTCAAGGACCCATGCCAGACTTAGTATCTCTATCCCTGCTTCTTTTAGATCTGGGTATAGAACTTTCAACTCCTCTTAGCACCATGTCTGCCTGCATGTTGCTATGCTTTCCACCCATGGTGACAATAGAGTAAACCTGTGAACCTGTAAGCAAGCCCAAATTAACTGTTTTCCTTTACAAGAGTTGTCATTGTCATGATGTCTCTTTACAGAAATATAATTTTGACTAAGACACAAGGTGACAAGTTTTCAGGATAGAACCGTGTTGGAACCCATTGACAGGTTCCTTCTTGGGCAAATGTTCTGGGAAAAGGATATTGTTTTCTTCAAAATTAAAATTATCTTTGCTAAGATGTATTACACATTGGGATCAAAGCCATAAATATCTCCCAAACACTAGTTATCATAGGATAATTCTTGTATAGAAAGAATCGAAGGTCAGCATGTATGGAAAAAAGGAAACCTTACCTGAGATCTCACTGGTTTCTCCCAGAAGGCTGGCACTTGCTGTCCCCAGTTCAATGGAAGGCAATGGAAAAAAATATAAGACAGGTATTGACACAAGTTGAACATAAAATACAGCACTGAGGAAGAACAAGCTTTACTCCCAGAAAGAGAACATGGGGTCCATAAATGCCTCCATAAATCACCTCATCATTTCCTAGAAGTCTATGTAATCTCCAAGCTCTTGTTCTTGATTGGCATTGCAGGAGCAATGAATATAAACTCACCAGAAACCTCCTCATTCACTGTAAACTTGTCAATGTTGTATGTTTCTAGTAGGTCTCTGTCAGATGCTTGTTGGCTGTCTCTGGCTGATTCCCACAGATCATGAGTAGACGCTTCTAGGTCAAGAGTAGATGCTTGTATCTCATGAGTAGATGATTGTAGGTCGAGAATGGATGCTTGCTGGTCAAAAGTGGTCTCTTGTAGCTCATGAGTAGATGCTTGTAGCTCATGAGTAGGTGCTTGTAGGTCATGAGTAGATGCTTGTGGCTCATGGGTAGGTGTTTTTGTGTCAATAGTAGAAACTTGTAGCTCATGAATAGAAGCATGTAGGTCAAGAGTGGATGCTGGTTGATCACTCATATATTCTAGGGAAATCAGATAGGGAAAAACATATAGCTCAAGTCTCCATGAACATGTTTCTGTCATCTCTTTATGGACAAGCAAGGAACATAAAGTGGCTCGTGAGCCAGTGTGGTCTCATGGCAGTTACTCTTCTCTCTATAACTATTGGGAGCATTCTATTCACTCTCAGGGAGTAAGCTCAGCATCCTTACCAGGCTTCTCTGGGGAATCAGTTAAGGAAAGAGTAATCTTATTGTGCTTAATCTTAACCTTCACCTGCCTATCATTCAAAATGGGACAGAAAAAAATTCCACATTGCACCTAATAACACTTGAAGGTTTTTGAAAGCTCCAAATGAAACTACCATTGGCTAAAACACAAGAAAAATGTTTGTCCCTGTGCATAAGCAATGGCTGATTCAACCCCAAAATTCTCCATGGATTTGTTTATTGAATAAACTATGCTACGAACCCCACTTGTAACATATTCCATGCAATACCCAGTCCTCATGTCTTAAGATTTCTTAGCATCATAAGCCTCAGATTCATGAGTATTCTTTCTCAATAAAAAAAAAAAGGCTATGACTTCTAGGGCTATGCAGGAGTGATGACAACGGCTGAGGTAGGAGTGGACACCCCATGAAAAAGTCCATGATATCTCTCTGTCTCTCTCTGTCTCTCTCTCTCTCTCTCTCTCTCTCTCTCTCTCTCTCTCACGCGCACACGCGCACGCACGCAGACACACACATACACATCTTAAACCTCTTTCCCCAAAGTACCTCAAGTGTGTACATACCTGAAGTTGGATTGGGAAAGGAAACTGCCATGACACACAATGCAGAGAGGATTAGAACCTTGTAGAACATTCTCCCACTGCCTCTGATGTTGTGAGGACCTCGTGCTTTGTGAACAAGCAAAAGGCAGAATACGAGGGAGAACTCTGCTGAGTGTTTAAATACCTGTCCACTCTTTCTACTGCTGCGGGTAGAAGAGTGTGGGTATGTTGTACGTATTGCAGAAAAGAAAACTACCCTCATGAAGTTTAAAGATGTTTCAGGACAGAAGATTGTGAAAGAGGCAGATAAAAGCAAGAAAATGCTGGGCACAAAAGTATGACATGGTAGGTTGTGAAATATGAACTCCAAACACTTGTGTACCGTTCACTTCCATCTCCATGATCAGCAGCATTGAATGGCCTTCCAAAAGAAAACCAACACTACATCTTGCAAACTAGACTTTCCTGAGCCCCCAAAGTGGTTTGGTGTAAAATAATAGAGTCTTATAGTTCACAACATTATTATGAGTGCATTGATTCAAAGGAAATAGCTGTAAGTTCTCACTGGCCAGTATCTGAAGGAAAGGTAAACAGTTCTCCTGGCCAAAATAGCAACTGGTATTATATTGTGTAATTCTACAGCCTTACTAGCCCTGTGATTATTTTTTAATTAATTTTTATTTAAATTAAAAACAACTTTATTTTACATACCAATCCCAGTACCCTATCACTCGTGACCTCCCATTCCCTCCACCATCTCCCCTTCCCACCCCCCACCCACTCCTCAGGGAGTGGGAAGCCTCCCATGGGGGATCATCCAAGTCTGTCACATCATTTGAGGCAGGACTGAGGCCCTCCCCACTGTATCTAGGATGAGAGAGAATCCCTCCATAAGGAATATGCTCCAAAAGCCAGTTCATGCACTACAGATAAATACTGGTTCCACTGCCAGAGGCCCCATAGACTGCTGAAGCCCCACAAGTGACACCCACATTCAGGGAGGCTGGTCTGATCTTATGCAGGTTCCCTGGCTGTCAGTGTGGAGTCCATGAGCTCCCACTTGCTCAGGTCAGCTATTTCTGTGGGTTTCCCAGGCATGGTCTTGATCCATTTCCTCATCACTCCTCCCTCTCTATGACTGGGTTCCAGGAGTTTGGCTCAGTGCTTAGCTGTGAATCTCTGCTTCTGCTTCCATCAGCTATCAGATTAAGGCTCAATGATAGCATTTAAGGTAGTTATCAATCTCATTATAAGGGAAGAGCATTTAAGGTAGCCTCTCCACTATTGCATAGATTCTTAGTTGGGGTCATCCGTGTGTAACCCTGGAGATTTCCATAGTGTCAAGTTTCTCCTTAAGCTCCCTCTATTAAGGTATCTCTTTCCTTTCTCTCCTCTGTTCTTCCCCCAACTTAACCTTCCTGATTCCACATGTTCTCCTCCCCCCTTCTCTCCTCCTCTTCTTTTTCCTACTTCCCTTCCTGGTCTCCTCATGTACCCCATTTACTCAGGAGATCTTGTCCCTTTCCCCTTTGGGGGGGGGTTCATATATGTCTCTCTTAAGGTACTCCTTGTTTCCTATAATTTGGAAAAGAAGAAGTCAAACTTCCACTATTTGAAGGTAATACGATATTTTACATAAATGACCAGAGAAATTCTACCAGGGAATTCCTTCACCGATAAACACCTCAGTAAAAATGTCAGGATACAAGATTAACTCAAAAAACAAAATCAGTAGCCCTCCTATATATAGATGATAAACAGGCTGAGAAAGAAATCAGAGAAACATCACCCTTCACAAAGGCCACAAACAACATAAAATATCTTGGGGTAACTCTAACCAAGCAAGTGAAAGTCTTGTATTTCAAGAAATTTAAGTCTTTAATGAAAGAAATTAAAGAAGATGCCAGAAAATGGAGAGATCTCCCATGCTCTTGGATAGGTAGGAGCAACATAGTAAAAATGGCGATCATACCAAAAGCAATCTACAGATTCAATGCTATCCCCATCAAAATCCTAGCACAGTTCTTCACAGACTTTGAAAGAACAATACTCACCTTTCTGTGGAAAAACTAAAAACCCAGGTTAGCCAAAACAGTCCTGTACAATAAAGGAACTTACAGAGGCATCACTATATCCATCCATCCTGAAGCTCTACTATAGAACTATAATAATGAAAACAGTTTGTTTTTGACACAATAACAGACAGACAAGTGGAATCAAATTGAAGACCCTGATATTAATTCACACACCTATGAACGCCTGATTTTTTTTTTACAAAGAAAGTAAAATTATACAATGAAAAAAAATCATCTTCAACAAATGGTGCTGGCAAAACTGGATGCTGACATGTAGAAGACTGCAGATAGACCCTGTGATTCTTAGCAGTTGTCTAGCAGCAGTTATCAAATGACTTTCCCTATGAGGAACCTAGAGGGTAGAAGATTAAGTCCAGATTCACAAGGGTTACTCACTCTCTGAATATTGTCAGAACCAAAGGCTACAACTTAGAAGGTAGTCCTGACCCCTGCTCATAATAACTTTCATTCTTCACAGCCAGTATCAAGCAAACAGAATTGCAGCACCCTGATTCTCAGCCACAGAAGAGATACAACAAAGTTATGGAAAAATACCAGGTAAGAGGGTAGCCTGTTATGCCAGCATTCTTGCTGAATTAAGTAAACTCTGTATCTAGAGATTATATCTTTAGTCAGTTTGAACAAGATTCATCAAAGGGATCAACTTTTGATTTTAGGTAATTCCTACGTAGTTGTGGTCTCATAGGTCACTGACTGTGTAACCTGCCCTCATAATAAACACTTTGAAACCCAAGAATTGGAATCTAGGACCTGACTGTTCTCAATCCCTGTGACTCCATTGCCTCCATCAAAGAAAACGCTGAAAATAGCAGGAGACAGATATTAGCGCAGGACACCGTTTAGTCATGATTAATCAGACTGGGGAAGGCTGGGTAAAAAAAAAAAATGCCCTTTCTCATATATTTTCCTCCATTTTTCAATGAAAGGGCATTCAGAGTTGGAAAAGTTAGAAGTTGGTGGCATGGTTAGAACAGGATCATTCCAGTGCTTGGTAGAGATCTTTTTCTCTGACTTGTTCGTTAACCCACAGCCAGAGACCTTGTTGACATTAATTTTATGAGGGAAAACCAGTTACCTATGGAAGATGAAGGAAGTGTCCAGTTGCCTTCCTTTAGAATTTCACATATCATGTGAACAGAGAAGCATTACACTCATTAATCGTTTAAATTTTAAATGTATCCTAAAAGGTTGGCTATAGGATAGTCCTGAAGGGGAAAGATGGAGGTTTCAGGGCTGTATTGAAGTCCCTCTAGGGCTCTTTTCTACAGGTAAAGCATAGATTTTTTTTTAATTTTGCCTTTATTATATGTCTTTTTAAATATATAATTGCTCTGTTACATGACTGCTGTTCAAAAGAAAGGGAACTTGGCCCATCTCTGGTGATGAATGGAGATATGACATTCTAAAATGCTCAGTGATCATCAGATTGCATAATTTTGATTCAAGTGTATTATGTATTCCAGTGAATATTTGATGATTAAAATCTTCATTGAATGGCTACTTTTTTCAATTTAATATTTTTATTGACTACTTGGTGATGGGAGATGTCATTCTGTAAATATGTTTCTCATACTGGTTAATGAATAAACCACATTGGCCAATAGGAAAGCAAGATAGGCGGGACTAGGAGGCAAGGAGGAGAGAGGAAGTAGTAAAGAGGAGTCAACATGGAGAGACCTGGGAAAGAGCCTCTTTCTGGTAAGATGAGACCACATGGAAACACTTAGATGAATAGAATGGGTTAATAATTAAGACAGAGCTAGCCGATAAGAAACAAGTAACTGGCCAACAGATTTATAACAAATACAGCATCTCTGTGTGTTATTTGGGGCTGGCACCACGGCTCTGGGTGGCGGGGCTGGCAGCAGGAGGGAAATACTACTCGTAACAATTTGGGAATTTCACATCATGCATTTCAATCATACTTCACAGTCCTCCCAGGTATTTCTCGAAGGCTTGTGATCCTTGCCCTCCCCCACCTCCTCCCCACCACACA